GGCCTGTAACCAGCTCACAAAAGCCATTTGCGTCATTGCTTCCCAATTCTGTGTTCAGTGATATTATATTGGTATACTGAAACTGGCAGTGGTGGGAATATTTACACTAAGGAAACCAGCAACACTACAAATCAGAGCTTTCCTCACCCTGCGACAATTTTTTTCAGCATTTACTGGTACATGACTGCCTCAGGGACTCTCCTGCATTTCATTCTTGTTGCTGGCAGTAATCTTCTCCAGCCCATGACTCTGTTTTCCCTAAAAGCAGGATTTGGAGTAAAAGGAGGGCTTCCTACGTTTTCCTGTGACTCTTAAAATGATGATCCTATCATTTTAAGGAAACTGAGGCTATTATAGAGGTAAAAATAATTAAATATGTACACGAGAAAGTTACAAAGATTTCTATAGTTTACATTGTACCATCCTGACCTTAAGTTTCTTTCCTAGTTCTCCACTGAGTTTGTGAATAAATAAGACAATGTATCTAAAGCTCCCAGTACACTGTTTAGCACATAAGATTATACTCAATAAAGGTAGTCACTGTAATTATAGTATTAATAAACAGAAATATATCTGGTATCCAGTCCTTGGCCTTTGTGGGGCTGAGGTTGGAAAACAACAGTCCTCCTGATAAGCCCTCTTTCCTCAGGTGAAGAGCTATCTTCCTGGAAGTTTCCTTGTAAGAAAAAAAGAAGCCTGAAGCAATTAATATGGAACAAAATATATCCTGATTTTCTGATTCCCTTTTTTTTAAACATCCCTAACTATACTTAGACTGGAGCCTGGTCTTATACAGGGACTCTAATCCCCATAAAGATGCCCCCTCCTAACACACACTGTTCCACAGAATTTTCTTGTCAATAAACATAGTTGAAAATAAAGTGGAAATGGTTTTGAGAAAACTAGATATCCACATGCCAAATAATAAAATTGGACCCTTAGTTTACACAGTACCCAAAAATCAACTCAGAATGAATTAAAGGCTTAAGCCAAGTAAGACCTGAAACTAAAACTCCTAGAAGAAAACAGAAGAAAAGCCCCTTGACATTGGTCTTGGCAATGATGTTTTTGGATATCACAGCAGAAGCTCAGGCAACAAAGCAGCAATAAACAAGTGGGACCACATCAAACTGAAAGGCTTCTGCATAGCAAAGAAGACGATTTTTAAAAATTCAGCCTATGAATCGGAAGACAATGTTTGCAAACTATATATTTGATAAGGGATTAATAGAATATGTAAGGAACTCATACAATTGAATCTCAATAAGACAAATAAATTGATTTTTAAATGGGAAAAGGATTGAAATAGATATTCTGCCAAAGAAGACATAAAAATGATCAACAGGTACATAAAAAAGTGGTCAACATCACTAACCATAAGGGAAATGCAAATGAAAACCACAATGAGATGTGATCTCACACTTGTTAGGATGGCCATTACTAAGAAGATAAATGATAACATGTGTTGGCAAAGATGTGAAGGAAAGGGATCACTTGTACAATGTTGGTGAAAATATACTTTGGTGTAGACTGTTATGGAAAACAATATATAAGTTTCTCAAAAAATTAAAAATAGAACTACCCTACAATCCAGTAATCCCACTGTTGGGAATACACACAATGAAAATGAAATTATTATGTTGAAGAGATATCGGCACGACCATGTTTATTGTAGCACTATTCACAATAGCTAAGACGTGGAAACAATCCAAGTTTCCATTGACAGTTGAAAGGATAAAGAAGATGTGGTATATGCATATTACACATAATGGAATATTATTAATCCTTTAAAAAGAAGGGGACCCTGCCATTTACAAACACACAGATGAACCTCGGGGACATTATGCCACATAAATAAGCCAGACATAGAATTAAAAATAATGTGTGATGTTCCTAATATGCGAAATCTTAAAAAGCCAAATACATAGAAACAAAGAGTGAAATGGGGATTAACAGGAGTGCAGATAGGGAAAAATGGGGAGATGCTGGTTAAATGGTATCAAGTAGCAGATACAGATACGTAGAATGAACAAGTCTATAGATCTGGCCAGGCACGATGGCAGCTCACACCTATAATCCCAGTACTTAGGAAGGCTGAGGCAGGAGGATCACTTGAGCCCAGGAATTTGAGACCAGCCTGCTTGGACAACATGGTGAAACCCTGTCTCTACAAAAAATACAAAAATATTAGCAAGATGTGATAGTGCTCATCTGTAGTCTCAGCTATTCAGGAGGCAGAGGTGGGAGGACTGCTTGAACCCAGGAGTTCGAGACTGCATTGAGCTGAGATTGTGCCACTGCACTGAAGCCTGGGCAAGAGTGAGACCTTGTCTCAAAAAACAAAAAAAAAGAAATGCAAGTCTAGAGAACTAATGTACAACATGACTACAACTAATAATATTGTATTGCATTCTGAAAATTTGCTTAGAGGGTGGATTTTAGGTGCTCTTACTATGAAATGAAGGCAACTATGTGAGGAGACGGACATGTTTATTTGCTTGATTACAATGATCATTTTACCTTGGATATGTGTATCAAAATATCATGTTGTACACCACAAAATCATACAATAAAAATGAAATGAAATAAAAATAGAGTGGCAAATACTAGAGTAGAACACAAATGCAATGTATGTTAGCAGTTTAGGCTGGGATGGGGGCAATGTAGAATGTGAGAAGGCCTCATAAGTTCTTTGCAGGCAAGCTGTGTCTATGAAGCAGATGAAGAGATGTGAGCAGAAGGACAGTACGTTAAGGGGGATTTATGACTAAGGGAGAAAGATGCCAGGATTCTGTGATAAAAAGGGTCTCGGTGAATTCAGAGGGAGGTTCTTAGTGCCAGGCATGTGTCTTTTTACTTGTCCCTAGGCTGCTTAGCCATCTGACATAAGAGAAGATGCAAGATATTTGCTTATCACACTTTCGGATGGCACAAAGTTGGGAGTGAAAAAATAAGATACCCACAAGAAGAAGAGAAGACCTCTTGGGGTGATAAAATGAGCTCCTCCCAAAAGCAAGGTAAAGTTTAGACATGATATAGGCAAACTCTGCTTCTTGGGTGTGCACTTAAATAATGAACATAGGGAACATTTTGCCCTTCAAATATGATCTGATTAACACAAGTCTATGCCAAAGAGCTTGGAGCCTACCTTTCTCAAAGTTACCTCTTTCAGATCCTGGGAAATTATTTGTGAGATTGCTTGTTGGTTTTAAGGATGTAGACTGTGGCTGTGGCACTGGACATTTCTTTCCATATGGTTATCTGACTGTTGAAGTGAATGAACCTGATTTTTGATATTAAATGAAATGTATTCTAACCAAATGAGCTAATCAGAATTTAAGATTTGGATTGGGAGGAAAATTTGTATTGAATTATTGCGGCAATTTATCAATTCTTTATTTAACATTGCTTAACTTAATAGTAGCAGATAGAATACCAAGGGTCCTTTTATCCCTTAAACTAGTTAGTGAACACTCCATTAGTGGTACAAGATAGAACCTGAATATGGCATGTGAGCGATGTTATCTAGAAGAAAAATTGTTTTTAATTTTGACTGTCCATAAAGATGACTTCATGAACAGTTCAAGAAAATGCTTAAGCAAATAACTTCATTATATACTAGGTATCATTTCTGATTAATGCATTAATACGCTTTAAAATCCTAAGAATACATTCTTTAGTGAATGCAAAAGAGTTTTTATATTAAAATCCAATTGACATTATCTGCTTCCCTCAAACATGTAAATAAAGTTTACTATCTTGTTAACGAAATTTTTCCATAAAGGTATATCATTACACTATGCATATTTAAAAGCAGCACAGGCTGTAAATTACACTAATTTTTTTCTGAAAGGCATCTTCCCTAGATAATGCTAACAATTGCTCCTTCCATACTGCCCAAAGCAATTTACAGATTAAATATTATTCCTATCAAAGTACCAATGACATTTTTCACAGAACTAGAAATAACTATTCTAAAATCCACTTAGAACCATAAAAAAAAAAGCCTAAATAGTCAAATCAATCCTAAGCAAAAAAGAACAAAACTGGAAGTATCACACTACTGGACTTGAATCTATACTACAAGGCCACAGTAATTAAAACAGCATTGAGTCTCTCTCATTGCTTGATTTCCTTCCTTCCCTTTCCTCCCTCCCTCCCTCCTCCCTCCCCCCTTCCTCCCTTCCTTCCTTCCTTCATCCCTTCCTTCCTCCCTCCCTTCCTCCTTCCCTCCCTTCCTGCCTTCCTCCCTTCCTCCTTCCCTCCCTTCCTCCCCCCCAAAAAAAAAACCAGCATTGAATTGGTACAAAAGCAGGCACATAGACCAATAGAATAGGTCAGAGAACCCAGAAAAAAAAGAGCTGCACACCTACAATGATCTGTTCTTTGATAAAGTCGACAATAACAGGCAATGGGTAAGGGATTCCTTGTTCGTGGTGCCGGGATAGCTGGCTAGCCATACGCAGAAGATTGAAACTGGATCCCTTCCTTACACCACATACAAAAATCAACTCAAGAAGAATTAAAGACTTCAGTATAAAATCCATAACTATAAAAAGTATGGAAGAAAACCTAGGAAATACCATTCTGGATATCAGTCCTGGCAAAGGCTTCATGATGAAGACTTCAAAAGCAATTATAATGAAAATAAAAATTAAAAGTGAAACCTAATTACACTAAAGATCTCCTGTACAGCAAAAGAAACTACCAACATAGTAAACAAACGGTCTGCAGAATGGGAGAAAATATTTGCAAACTATGCATCTGACAAAGGTCTAATATCCAGACTCTATAAGAAACTTACACAAATCAACAAGAAAGGACGTGAACAAACACTTATTAAAGGAAGTCATACATGGAGCCAACAAGCATATGGAAAAAAATGTTCAATATCACTAATTACTAGGGAAATGCATATGAAAACTACAGTGAGATACCATCTCACACCAGTCAGAATGGCTATTACTAAAAACTCAAAAAAATAATAGATGCTGGTTAGATTGCAGAGAAAAGGGAATGCTTATACACCACTGGTGAGAATGTAAATTAGTTCAACCATTGCAGAAAACAGTCTAGAGATTTCTCAAAAAACTTAAAATAGATCTACCATTTAACCTAGCAATCTCATTACTGGGTATATAACCAAAGGGATATAAATCCTTCTACCATAAAGACACATGAACATATATGTTTACTGCAGCACTATTAACAACAACAAAACATAGAATCAATCTAGATGCTCATCAATGCTGGATTGGATAAAGCATGTGTGGTAGATATACACCATGGAATACTAGGCAGCCATAAAAAACAATGAAATCATGTCCTGTGCAGAAACATGGATGGAGCTGGAGGCCATTAGCCTAAGCAAACTAATTCAAAAACAGAAAACACAATACAACATGTTTTTACTTTTAAGCTATGCATTGAGTACACATGGGCACAAAGAAGGGAATGATAGACAATGGAGTTTTTTCGAGGGTAGAGGAGAGAAAATTGAAAAACTACATATTGGATATTATGCTCATTACTGAGGTGATGAAACTATCTGTACAGCAAACCCCCTTGACCTGCAATTTACTCATGTAACAAACCTGCATATATATCCCTTGAACCTATAAAAGTTGGAAAAAAAAAAGAAATGTTGCTTGTATACAAAGATACTAGAAACTTCCTCCTTGTTTTTGTAACATAATTTTTATCCAAAAATATTTTAAATTTAACATTTTAAAGTTATATTGAGAAAATGCAACCACTCGATAGAACAAAAAAAAACTTTTTGGTAAATCAGGGGAAATATTAGAAAAAACACATGCTTACTGTGAGGTCCTATTCATTTAATTCTGAATTTTTAAGCCAAGAAATCAATCAAATGTTACATTCACAATTTTTGTAGGATAAATAGTACCCAGTTAAGAAGAAGTACAGTTATTATTAAATACAAATGTTCGAGAGATAGTCTTCTCATGGATGTTCAGCTCATCATCAGACAATCTGCAGTTTAATCAGTTCATAGGCTTCACTCGTAATTACAATAGCATAGGGTAGTCTACCATTGAGCTCTATCACCATTCCTTTTGTAGCCAATGATATTGGTGATAAAATCTGTGACAAAAATAAATGTTAATGAAATTCTGGTGATTCTCTCTGTGGGTAATGAACAATTGTTACAAGGATTTAGAAAAAGAGAGTGAGATAGAAATAGAGATAGACATAGCAATATAGAAATAGAGAGGAACATAGAATTTTAAATATATATATTTATTTAGAGCACTGGAACTGACCTTTCATTGTATAATACTCACTGCTCCAGATGAAGGGAGAGAGGCAAGTTCTTCCTCAAAATATTCTGAAAAGCAATGATTTCTGAAAAGAGGATTTATTTATATAGGAACCTAAGGATTTGGAAGCAAGAACGGAGCCTTAACCCCTACATCTCCAAAACTGTAAGTTAAAGAATCCAGTGGGCCAAGTGGCTTTGACAAGACTTCACTGGCAGGAAAGATCATCAAAAACTTCACATTATTCAAGGGAAGTCCGTTTTGATGACCTTCATTCTACACAAGGTCTTAAGAATTGGTGGGAGGACTGGTTCCAGCCCAGTGGGTAACTGAAGCCAGAATCACCATGTATCTTAGCTCAGTGGCTGCACTTTCAGAAAAACCTTTGACCACATGGGTGTGAAATGAAAAGAGTTTCAGCCTAGGATTCTAAGAGGGCACCAGTGAGCACTGGATAGACAGGGAGCTATTCACTAAACATCTGACAACTGACTGCAACAGCAAGAAGCAAGGGCAGAAGTAGACTCATCCACTATCCTGGTTTGCTTTGTACTTGGCATTTGAAAGCTGTGCTAATCCCAGGCCCCTTCTCAAATTAATCAAACCCTGAAGGTTGTGGGAAATTAGTGTTGTGGAGAAGGCATTAAGAGAGTGATTCTGGACTTTGTTAATAATAAAAGTGGTCTTCTCAAACAATTATTTGGAAAAATGCAAGAAATGCAACAATATTTATTCCCCAGGTGTATGAAGCAAGTAGTAACAATTCCATGGAGCTCAGTCACCACATTGAAACAAACAGCTGGAGCTGATCAGCCACAGTTAGTCCTAAACTTGCCAAGTGACTTCTGCTAAGCTTCATACAACTGAAGGAAGAGAATTCAGAAAGCACGTGTATCCAGTGTCTATGCCAGGAAAAAATAAATGCAGCCCTTGACAAATCTTCAGTATGAATTTTGGCATCCTTAATGCCCAAAGTGGCTTTCCATAATTGAATTGTTTATTAAGTATCCTGAAGAAGCCCTTGTTTTCCTTAATAATATCTGATGGCCTATGGCCATCCAAAGTGCTTATTTAGTGTTTATTAAAACTATAAACATATTGTGTACTTGTCATTTCCCTACCATACATCTTATAAAACTGCCACCAAAGACAATGTCCACTAAAATATTCAACATTCCTGGGTGAAAAATTATCTTTCAGTTAATGCTAAAAAGAAAAAAATTTGAAAGGAAATATGCTTTTCTTTATATTCTGATATCCACTCATTCATTCATTCAGTCAGTCATCCATCCTTTCTATTATTTCAATTATTGTCTTAAAGTACGAACTATGTGACAGTCATTTGCTATGTGCTGTAGATACAAAGATGTGTGGAATGCATCTTAAACCTCTAGAGATGCCCAGATAAAGTGGAAGAGAAAGATAAGCACATAATATATTAACAGGATGCTGTAGATGGTATGGGCTTATAATGGGGGTTGTATTTAACCTGGAGGTAAAGGAAGACTTGTAAAGGAAGCAATGTATGAGCTGAGTCTTGAAGAGTGAGGGAGAAGCAGGCATCAAGATGAGTCCCAGCTTTCAGACTTGGCACTCGTCAATCCTGGTGCCAGTAACTAAGATAAAGAAGGAACAAAAAAGGACTCATTTCTGGGAGACCATAAACAGTTCCATTTGATAATTGCACCTTGATAATGCTGCCTTGGTTTTGATCACAGTATGGCATAGCTGATTGGCACCTGCTTTCAGGTCAGCTGAACCAAGTTCATATCCCATCTCTACCACTTACTAATGACATTACCTTGGGCAAAGGTCTTAAATTCTCAGGGCCATGGTTTTCTCACCTATAAAACAGAATTAATGATACATACTTAGGCTACAAGGGTTAAAATGTACAATACCAATAAAATTGATAATCCTTTTAATAATTCTTTAAAATAACCTCTTGAGCCTGGTGTGAACCCAAACTGAATCTATTTTGCTCCTCTTTTTTGGTCTTGGTCTTTGCTAATGAGTGGTGCACTTCTTTCTGTTGACTACTCTCACCTTTATGCCATGCTGGCTGGTTTCCTGGTGGCCTACCATTTTTCCATCTAGAGTTGAACCTCCTTATTCCCAACATGTTTCATAGAGAGTGTTGAGAAGCACATACTATCTCACTGCTGTCTTTAAGCCTTGAGGGAGTGAGTAAACAAAAACGAAAGTACATGTTATCTCTGCTGTTCAAATATCTGTCACCTGTTGGAACTACACCTTGCTGATTGATGGGGTGTTTATAGCTATTGACTTTGTCCTAACTTCCTTCATTCTTCAATCCTCCATCATCCAAGGGGAGTAATGTCACCCCCGTCCCCCGTCTTGGAGTGAAGCCAGGGTACACAGTAATGTCGTTCTGCTGGACTGCTCACGTGCACTGGAGGGTGACAGCTGGATCCCAAGCAGCTGTAGTATGACTAGCTGAAGTGGGATAATCATGAGCTGGGAGGAAAGAGGAAATGCTTTCAGGATTCACTGAAGCGCAACTTTAAGAAACACAGAAAAACTGGAGCCAATTAGGAAACTCAGGCTGACAAGCAGCTATCAGGAACCAACTTTTTAAACAAAAGCATCAGGCTAACTAAGAAACAGTCACAAACCGCAAAATATCTTTCAGATAGACGTGGCCAGTGGTAATTAAAGCACATTTCCTGTGTGCTCAGTTTAGCAAGGACTGCCGAACCATTGAGGATATTTTTGGCTACATGCTCATCCAGATTTCAATGCCTTCTATTTGAAGAGGGACGATCAGATGTCTTTCCCCTAATCTATCTGTTTTGCAGGGCATATAGAAGTAGGGCCTTCCAGCCATTCTTTATTGAGATAAAATGACTTCAGCAACTAGAAGAAAAAGAAACACAGCACATGAGGTTAGTAAGCCAGAGATTTGGGTCAAACAGTGAATGATCTGACAGACTGAGGCTGAGGAGTTCAGTATGTTGTACCAATGATTTAGAGCTAGATTCAAATCCCAATTCTGCAACAATGTGATGATTTTCCTCCTGGCCATTAAAATGGCGAGAAAGTACCTCTCAGGGCTTTCTAAGTATTATGAGAAATAATGCATAGTGTGCTCATAATAGATACTTTAAAAACAGTTAGTTCCCTACTCTCTCTTTTATGTACTAAGGGAAAACAGTCAGACATAGAAGTGGGACTTTAGTTATACCCTTAGCCATGCCATACATGACTTTCTCATGTTCAGAGTTTCCTTTCTGATTAAAGAAATGAACATGATGTTATCATAACCTAATTTTGGTATTCATTTGTAAGTTAGCTAGTAAATAATGCAGTTACTTTAACATCTATTTCCCTCCATGAGGACATACACTTGAAGAATGCTTTTATTTATGGTATACAGTTTTTTTTAAAGTAAGCTCCAAGTCGAATTTTCCAGCTTGATGTCAGAAAGTGGGAAGGATAGTGAACAGGTAAGATTCTGAGGGCTTCCCCAACCAGAGCAGCCTTTGAAATAGTTCATGCACTGGCCTTCCCATAAGGTTTTTCTATACATAAACATAAATGTCCATAGCTGAAAAATTAAGTTCAAAAGTCATTCTTCTATAATATTTGTGTTAAAAAGACTTGGGTAAAAAATTATTAACTTTACACCATGGGTCAATGAACACGGCCACTCCTCTCGTTTAGTCTATGCAGGGCCAGAAATTGATACATAGTGTGGAAACAGTTCTCTGTCCCCACCAGAAACATTTCTGCAGTGAACTGGCCCCAATATGATGCAGGGAATAGGAAACTTTTCAAGGATACTGAGTTGGGGGTTACCAAGACAACCTTCAGGTTTGATGATTCCCTATGAGGACTCACAGGACTCAACCTATAGTGAACTTCATAGTCATGACTTATTACAACTAAAAGATACCAAGCATAATCAATACAAGAAAAAGATTCAAGCAGCTAAGTCTGGAGGAAACCAGGAGCAGACTTCAAGAGTCTTCTTCCAGAGGAGTCACATAGGATGGGATTAATTCTCCCAGCAATGAGTTGTGACAGCACATGGGAAATTTAGCCCAGAACAAGTACCAGTTGCCAACTGTGTGTCAGTTGCATTTGTGCTATCACAAGGTGTGTTCTCAAGGAATTTTCTCCATGCATATTCAAATAAGCTTTGATGTTATGTATTCAGTATTTATATAACTTGTACTATTACACATTCTATACTGATTTTCACAAATTTTATTTCCTTGGTGGATTTCAGTGTTTCATCCATGATTGGACTGAGTTAAGCAATCATGTGATATTGCTAATCTTCTACTAGAGAAGACTCAGGTTCTAAAGAGGCAGAGGAGTATGTGAGGAAAGAACTGACTGACATTAGGATCTGAGCGGCTTCCTGTGCTCTCTCTCCAACCCCTTGTTTTAGCAAATGGGCTGCCTTTCAGGATTTGTATGAAGGGCTATTGCCCAAACTCATTCTCCATGCCACCTCTCAGAAGTCCTCACTCCCCCTCGGGGTGAGGAGTTGGAATGGCATGGCAGGCAGAGCAGTGCATCCCTAGACACCTTTATATAAGATATTAAGATCTATTAAAAGGTCATTTAAACTCTGAAGAAGGAACAACAACAATAAAAGAATAGACTTAGTATTGTGGACAATATAAAAAATGAACTACCAAATGCCCATTCCATTCAAGTTTCTCTATCAATAAAAGTGGTATTAAATCCAAATTTAAGAGGAAAATAACTGAAGTTCAAAAAGATAAGGGAACTGCAAATTGTACGCAACTCTCCTTAGTCCTCATAAATTGTATCATCCTGCTTGCAAAGAGCATGGAATACCCACAGGAGACCTGGGTTTTCATTTTCTGATTTTAGAGACAAAGAAGACAGATATGAAGAGTCTACAGATGGGCAAATGTTTTCATGTTCAAAAAGAAAAGAATGTAGTTATAGCAAATAAAAAACTTCTTGAGATTCATTCTGAGCAAGATTCTATAGACAACAACAATAGAACATTGTGATACTATACTGCATGCCAGGCATTGTGCCCCGTGCTTTACAGATCTTAACATTTTATGTCCACAATGGCCTTCTGAGGTAGGTACATCTGAGGTTCTCACTGTGCTGCTCCCTTGCTTAGAGTCTCACCTTCTCCAAATGGGCTAAAGATTTTCTCTCAAAATCACATTCTTCTGCTAGAAAATAATTCTGATTAGTACAACACTTTTCCACCACATATCGTAAAGGATAGGGGTGGGGTGGAGGGAAATAGGCTTCTTCTCTATTAAAATTATTATGAAAATCCTATTCTGTGTTCTGAATGTGCTTCTTTTCTATGATCCAGACAACCTGAAACTTGTAGGAGAATCACCAAACGACCAAATCAAGGTTCCCTGAGTGGGAGACAGTTACTGAGTCACCTGGTCTCTCTGCTGTCCCTGTCACCCATGAGACTGGGAAAGTGAGCCTGGCCTCTTCCATTCCCCAAAATCTATAGATAGCCTTTCTCTAAGCTTCATCCAGCAATGAGAAGTGTGCCCTCATCTTTGAAAATGCTGAGTGTGTAAGGTGCTTGAGCTGGGATTAAGGAGAAACTGTATAAACCTTTGTTTATTCTGAATATTAGCCTATTTCATATCATTCATCCAGGTCCATGTAATTCCTGGTTCAAGTATGTATTCTTTCACATTATTTGCCTGTTCTTGTGTAAACCAAAATTGATGGAGAGAGTTCTGGGTAGCTACATCTGTTTCTCAGATGCAGTCCTCTTATTCTCATGGTCATTTGCATTTCTGAGATCCTAATCCTATTCTCTTAGCTTTATGCCATTTCCGAGAACTCTGGGGTTACATCTGACTGGGGGAAGCCTTCTTTTCTAGCTAGTGTAGACCTGCCCTTCTTTACCAAGAACTTCTTCCTTGCTGATCAAATTTTCTCTAGAACAGTAATTCTCTTCAGGGTTTCCTTCACCATATGAAACTTGATACAGACAACAGGCTAGGTTAAAATACTTTTTCTTTCTTTTTTTTCAGCTGAATGGGTTTTCAACAACTACACATATTCTCAAATTTTAATTTTAGTGTAATCAGTTTGAGTGAGTTGTTTGTTTTATGGCTCCTATGTATAAATGTGAAAGAGCAAGATAATAGGTGAAGGGACATGAGAAAGGTATTTTATTGCTTTTGTTTGTTTGGTTGGAAATGATGCAATTTCGTGGTTATTATATATGAGTATCACAAAAAAGACTGCCTAAAAAGGCATGCCGAAAAATCAGAAGAACTCGGTTTTTTAGCTCCTTTAAGGTCAGAATAAGGTAATGGTTGAGAGCATAAGCTCCGGAGTTGGACAAGCCTGGCTTTCAGTGCTGGCTTCTATACTTACCTTCTATACATACTTCTATGACTTAGTGACTTAGTCTTTTTCACACACAATTTATTAAAATATCTCATTGTGAGGTAGAAATTATATAATACATAAAACATAGTAAACACCTAAAAAAAGAGTAGTCATTATTTTAGTAGAAACTAGATAAATCCTTGCATTATTTTGGGGCTAGCCTCATGAATAACAAGAGTAGGCTTCGTGGTCTAATTTGAGTTACGCCCTCATGATCCGCTTGCTCATCCTCCCACTGGCCTTCAGGAAGTAAGGCTCTTGAATCTAGTTTATTAAATAAGCTGTATTCAATAGAGTACAAGATTAAAAAAAGAAAAGAAAACAACTTTTCCTCTTGCCACTGTCTCTTTGAATCTACACTCCCAACTTGTTTTTTCTCTACCTCTGAGTGAATATTGGACAGAACTCATAGTTCACATGATACTATTAAGTAATAAGGCACTATTAAATAAGTTAAAACCTAATCTTATTCAAAAATTACATAAATCTAAATTCATTCAATTTAAATCTCCCTCACACCAGTTCAGGTCTCCTTTAGGTTTCCAAGCTGTGGAGGTGGAGAATGGCTGCTGGCTGCTGCTTTATTTCCTTTCTTTGTTCTTTATTAAAGCCTGTCTGCAAGAAGAAAAGATCGAACTAGTGTTAGCTCCCAACATCTCAATTCAAATTAAGTTATTAAATTAGCTCTCAACTCCTTACTTCCCCATGGCAGCCTCAGTGAACATCACTGATTCCCTTTAAGTATGGGTACAGTTGTGCACATTTTGGCAAGGAGAGAAAGACGAGGGACCTCAGCCTCATCGGTCTGACTCCCCTCTGCACAGGGTCTTAGCCAGGCTGGTATTTGGGGGTGTCCATGGCAACGGGCTGGGTTGGCTTGTTGTGGCTATGTGTCACAGACAGGGCAGGCTACATAATTTGTGGAGTCCTGTGCAAAATTAAAATGCGGGATCCTTGTTCAAAAATTATTAAGAATTTTAAGACAGCAACAGGAGAGCATTAAGCTAAGCTCCAGACAGGTCACATGGCTCTGAACTGTACCCATAGCTAGAGGGAATCATCTTTAATCATTAAGCAAATCCAAGAGGAACTTGTGACAGGAAATCAAGTGAAGAATTAGGGTTCTGTTCCCAGGCAGGAGTGGAGACTAAAAACAAAGTCCACAACTGAAGCAATAAAAGGAGGTGATTCAGGAAGAGCCTGTAGGATTCCCAGAAAGAGACCTGAGGGCACTGGCTGGTTTATAAAGCCATAAACATGTGGTGTTATTTACACCACTGTGCAGGGTACCTGAGTGAGGCAACTGTACAAAGCTCTAAGAGCTCCTAGTGCACAGAGTGATGGGCAGCCTTCCTCTAGACCTGGCTGTGCCTCACACTATTTTCCTGTCTGTGCAGGGTCTCCCTTCAGGTCCTTCATCAAAGCCCCAGCAAATTTTCATGTGGTGGATGACAGTGTTCAATGTTGAAAGACTGACATAGCAGTACAGAAAGAAAGGTCCCAGAAGCACCTATTCCTTAAGAATAGTCAGCAGATCATAATGCATTCATTGAATGTCAGACTTTCAAAGCAAGTCTGCATCTATGGTTTCATGGACATGATATCCGTGTTCATAGAATCACAAGGTTGAGTTTCAGTAAAAACATCCCTGTTAGATGAGGCCATCAGAGCCCTCTTTCTGAAAGACAAAATGTGAGAAGACTGACCACTGACCACCACAACCTCCCTGAGCCTGGAATCAGCTCTGGGCCCCACCCCACCCTGTGGGTCCCAGACAGGGTAGGGCCCAGAGCTGACCTTGTCTCACTGCTGACCTTCAGCTTCACCTCTTCCTCACCAGGAGGAAAGCTTGGCTTTCCTCTTCTTGATGCTATTTCTTAGCCAGGAGGAGAAAGTGCAAGGAAGGGGATGGACATTGTTCTGCAAAGATTAGTGAGACCCTTCTCTCAAAAATAGATATTACCTATTTCATAGACATGAAAATGCCTTCCTAAATACTAAAATATTATATGTGAGTTGCTTTGATCTGCAATGTCCTGCCATGTCACTGTGGCTCAGATTACTTCAAAATGGTCAATTGATGTGAGAAAAAAAAAATCAGTGGCTTCTCTACAATGTAATCCAAATACTTGTCACTTATAAATTTTTTTTTGAGACAGTGTCACTCCGTCACCCAGACTGGAATGCAGTGGTGCAAGCTCAGCTCACTACAACCTCCACCTCTGGGTTCAAGCCATTCTCCCACCTCAGCTTCCTGAGTAGCTGGGATTACAGGTATGTGCCACCACACCTAGTTAATTTTTGTATTTTTTATAGAGACAAGATGTCACCATGTTAGCCAGGCTGGTCTCAAACTCTGGACTCCTTCCTTGCACTTTATACAAAAATTAACTCAAAAATGGATTAAGACATCTAGGGCAATACCATTCAGGACATAAGCACTGGCAAAGATTTCATGACAACATTGCCAAAAGCAATTGCAACAGAAGCAAAAATTGACCAATTGGATCTAATTAAACTAAAGAGCTTCTGCACAGCAAAAGAAACTATCATCAGAGCGAACAGGCAACCTATAGAGAGGGAGAAAATTTTTGCAATTTACCCATCTGACATAGGTCTAATATCCAGAATCTACAAAGAACTTAAACAAATTTACAAGAAAAAAAAACAAATGACCCCATTAAAAAGCAGGCAAAGGACATGAACAGACACTTCTCAAAAGAAGACATTCATGTGGCCAACAAACATTTGAAGAAAAGCTCAACATGGCTGATCATTAGAGAAATGCAAATCAAAACCATAATGAGGTTCCATCTCACACCAGTCAGAATGGCATTTATTAAAAAGTCAAGAAAGAGCAGATGCTGGCAAAGTTATAGAGAAATAGGAAAGCTTTTACACTATTGGTGGTAGTGTAAACTAATTCAACCATTGTAGAAGACAGTGCGGTGATTCCTGAAAGATCTAACACCAGAAATACTTTTTGACCCAGCAATTCTATTATTGGGTATACACCTAAAGGAATATAAATCATTCCATTACAAACGAACAAACGCGTATGTTCATTGAAGCACTATTCACAATGGTAAAAGACAAGGAATCAACCCAAAGCCCATCAATGATATACTGAATGAAGAAAATGTAATACATATATATCATAGAATACTATGCAGCCATACAAAGAAACAAGATCATGTTTTTTGCAGGAACATGGATGGAGCTGGAAGCCATTATCCTCAGCAAACTAATGCAGAAACAGAAAACCAAACACCACGGGGCCTGTCAGGGGTGGGATAGGAAGAGAAAAGAACATTAGAAAAGATAGCTAATGGATGCTGGGCTTAGGTTGATAGGTGCAGCAAACCACAATGGCACACATTTACGTATTTAATAAACCTGAACATCCTGCACATGTACCCTGAACTTAAAATTAAAAAGAAATTTCTCCTGGACTAACACCTTTGTTTAAGTCTAATATTGTTTATTTATTTAATTGTTCTCAACATAGATATGTAAAATTGTGTTTAAATACTATGTCACTAATATGTTTTAAAACCTGTTAAAGAGAGACAAAATTATCCCAATATTGTAAAAAGAAAATGTTTTGTACATGAGTACTTATATATAATGCATATTGTTATATAATTTTAATGTTAAATGATATAATACAATAAAATGATATATAGCATGTCACACACACACACATGAGTGCGCATGCACACACACACACACACACACACACACACACACAATGTTTAAAGAAAGAGAAAAAGAAGATTAAGAAAAAAATCCACAAAAAAATTATAGTAATTCTCTGGGGAGTAGAGTTGGAGATGGTTTTTATTTTCTTCTTTACCTTTTTCTTTGCTTTTCAAATGTTTTACATTGATAAAACACTGCATATTGTCAGAGGTGACAAATCATTATTTTTAAATGTCCCTTGTGAGCCAATAAGACATGTTTATTTAAACATTTCCAGGCTTTAAAAAACACTCCTTTAATATAGTCATGATATTTTCTTGCAATATGCATGTTCACACAACTCCTTTCCCCACTAGAATTTATTATCTTACAATATGTGATTTACCTGCTTTTATATTCCTATCTACTCAGCTATTTAGTATACATAGTAAATGCTTAGTAAATGTTTGTAGGACATGAGAATACATATATGAGTAAATGCAGCTAGGCCATTTTAAAATTCAGACCTAGCTAAATAACTCTACTTTTGTTGCCTTTTCCCCAAGCTCACCAGTTCATTTTCTGTACTAATTTTAAGTAAAATTTTAAACTTTTTCCAAAACATTTAATTTTACTTTCATAAAAACAAAACTTTTTTGTAATCATTTTTTCATTGGTTTCCCTAGTATTCTATTAAATTATATAGTTAAAAATATCGAGTTCAACTGGCATGAATAAGCTAAGTTTCAAAACAGCAGACACTCAAGTGTGGAAGAAGCGAGGGAGAGAACTAGAAAGTGGTACAAGGGCAGTGATACTTCAGCATGCAAGGGACATTTGTGTGGCTTTAAAAAAAACTGGAGCAAGTAAGCTAAGCGGAGTTCAGTTAAAAGAGGTCTGAGTTGCTTGCATCAGGCCACCTGCTTTGCCTACAGGATTCTTTTGAGGGCACCAGCACTCTGTGCATCATGAGCATTTGCTCCTGCTTTTTGGAAGCAAAATGAAATGGCCGAAAAACAAGAAACAGAATCAACAAAACTAAACAAAGAAATAAGAGCTCAAATTGTCTGTTCAGCATGTGTGTGTGTGTTTGTGTGTGTGTGTGTGTGTGTGTTTCTGGCACTGAAAGAGTTAAATTTTGGAAAAATAAATCAATTAGATGTAAGAGGGGAAAAAAACTTCCAGTCACTTTGTTACAAAAATATCCTACATTCTGGGAAACTGGCCCAAAATCTAGCAAGATTTGGATTTCATATTAGACAAGCAGCATCAGCCACAGAAGAACTTTCTAGTAAAAAAGTGTGCATAGAAAAAAAACTGGAATTATTTGAAAGAGAAAAAAATTGAAAATAAACAGGGAGGGCTGGGCATGGTGGCTTATGCCTGTAATCACAGTACTTTGGGAGGCCAAAGTAAGTAAATCACCTGAGGTCAGGAGTTCAAGACCAGCCTGACCAACATGGTGAAACCCCATCTCTACTGAAAATACAAAAATTAGCTGGGCTTGGTGGTGAGTGCCTATAATCCCAGCTACTCAGGAAACTGAAGCAGGAGAATCACTTGAATCTGGGAGGTGGAGGTTGCGGTGAGCCAAGATCATGCCATTGCACTCCAACCTGGGCTATAAAGCAAGACTCCATCAAAAAAAAGAATGAATGAACAAGAAAGAAAGAGAGAGAGAAAGAAGAAAGGAAGGAAGAAAAGAAAAGAGAAGAGAAGAAAAGAAAACCAGGAGGTCAGAAATCATCAGAAATCATAACTTGAGTTTGACTTATGTCTAAATTACTCTTGAACTTCCATCTTAAATATAGTGTTTGCATGCTTAAGTTTAAATGGTTTGATAAATATTTTTCCCCAAAAAAATAAGTTTAGTTAAAACCTTGATTAAGACCCTAGCCTTATTGTTTGAATTCTGTAACCATCCTAGTATTCCT